AACATTGTAAATATTGGACTATTGATTAATCTTACTTCATTCATTTTTTTAGTATTTTAAATATTAACAAACTGCTTCATACAATTATAAATGATTTGTAACATCATTGTTAGTGTTTTTTCATGTGATATAATATCAATTAAACTAATACAACTATTCCAAATAGAAATAATAGTATTTGCAATGTTTTCTCCATCTTTAATTTCTATATGATTTTTATATTTTTGTTGTTCAGAAACTAATGCTAAAATAAGTTTTTTCATTTCTTCCTGAAAATTACTGAGTTTTGCCTATCTCATAGTTAATAAATTTTATTTCTACTTTCTACTTAGTAATAAAGATAAATAACTTCCAAACAGTTAACCATGTTTTAAAAGTTGTTTCTGAAAGTCCTTTTGATGTTTCAATGAACTTTCTTATTTGTTGTTCAGAGAGTTGAATTTGTTGCATATTTCTTTATTATCTTTGGTATTAGTTTTGAAGTTGAAAGAATGAGAGTTTTCTTCTTTTGTATATGTAAAAATCCACACTTCAGTAAGAACAGAAAATAATAAAAACAATTTTTCATTTTTTTGTTATTCAATTCTGTTTTTTTTTGGATAGTTTTTGTTTTAATGAATAAGGTTATTCTCTATCATCAAAAAACCGTAACATTAATAAAAAACAATTCATTGATAACACTTCGATTGTTGAGAACATACAGGGATTTGAGAAAGAACAGACAAATGATCAAGTTTTTCCTTTTCTTGAAGAAACCAATTAGGATATGAAATATCTTCAATATCCACATCAACAGAAGAACAACTATACTTTAATAACTCAGAACAACACTGATTTGGTGAGAGTGAAAAAAATTTTTGTAAAAGAGCTAACTGAAAATTAACTGGGATATTTAAATAATTCATATAGTCTTTTAGCCATTTTATTCTATCTGCTTCTTTATATTGTTTTGAATTGAAAATACAACCACATGCCTCTCCTGGTTTAATATTCATTTGTTGTATTGATTTACATTTTTCAGGACTAAAATTGATATGACTTCCTTTTAATCCATAACAATGTTGAACAAAATATTCTAATTGTTTCTTTTCTTTTCCTCTCATTAAATCAACTCGTTGTCTCATATATTCCATACAAACATTTGCATCAACTCCTGCATTCTTTAAAAAAATAACAATTTGTCTTCTTGTATCATATTTCATTTGGTATTTACCAGAAGACAATGAATGAATATGATACATACATGCAGGTAACTTTGATAAAACTACAGAAAGTTCTCTATTATTATTAAGTATTGTTTGCTGTTTTGTTTTTGGTAAAACAGATAATAAAGGTTGAAGAAGAAATGGAGGTTCATCTCTGAGAATTAATAAATCAATAAATTTTGGTTGTTTTAAAGGATTAAAAATACAATAGATAAAACATCCATAGATAAGTTCATTAGACGGAATTAATAAATATCCATTCTTTAATCTATATTTATAAAGAGGAAGTAACTGTGAAATTTTTTGAAATGGTACTTCAACTAATGGTATTGATGAAGTTTGAATTATACTTTTACATTGTAAAAGAGAAAAATGATTAAATGGAGATGTAAGATATAACCTATGAAGAAAGATAATACTTTCAATATTGTCAAATATATCTTTTCTTGAATGAAATGTTAAATAAAAATAATAGTAAGATAAGTAATCAAGTTGAATTTCTTTAATAGTTGTTAATGGTAAATTTTCTGAAATTAAGTGAATTAATTCTTTGTAAACCTGAACTCTCATTAAATCTTCATTTTCCATTGGTAATTGATATTTTTTTAAAATAGTGAAATAAATAAATGTTCTCTTTTCAATTATATCATAAAATTCACTTCTTTTATAACTATTAATTAATTGATTAAATACTGATTGGTCAAATTCTTTATACATTTGTAATTTAATATCATCTTTTGATTCATGAGGAAATCGTATAAATTGAGTTATTTCTTTTGTGTTCATGAAAACTGGAAGTTTAAACCCATTTTACTCTTTTTTATTAATAACACAATTTCATTATTTGTGTTATTTTATTTTTTGTTTTTAAAATAATATTAAATTATAATTTAATTTATTATATTTTTAATGAATAAAATTGTTTTTATTTTGTTAAATATTTTCAAGATATATCATCTCGAAGTTATTAGAATCCTTAATGGAGTGTGTCATTGGTATTGATTTAGGAACTACCTTCTCATGTATGGCAGTCTGGAAAGAAAATTCAAAGAGAGTTGAGATTATTACTAATAGACAAGGAAAAGAAATAACACCATCAGTT